TGTAGCATGCACAGGGCCCTAGGTTCCATGGTGGCACATGTCTGTAATCCCAGAACCTGGGAGGCAGAAGCAGAAGCAGGAGGATCAAGAGTTCAAGGTTATCCTCAAATACATAGAGAGTTGGAGGCCATCCTGAGATACATGAGACCCTATTTTCAAACAAAACAAGACAGAATAAACCTCTTGATAAAAGACATTTTTTATTCCCCAAGAACCCTCTTGCTTCAGGTAGCAGCGCGCAGACTTCCACTGTTTAGCTTTCCTGCTGTGTGTCCCAGAAAGCACTTCTCCCTTTCCATCTCTTTCCTCTCAGTAGCTGCTCAGATCTCCAATATCATTTTCAGGTACCTCTCCGAGTCTGTTTTTTTTTTTTTTTTTTCCTAATCATTGAGCTCAAGAACCTGCAAAAGTTACCTTGTGTCACCGGGGATAGGAGTGAGGGGAACATTCAAGGAGTCTGAGAGGTTGTTGAGGGTTTCCGGGGGCTAAGAGGTCAGTTCTGGTCTGTTCAGGAAACTGTTTTCTTCTTTGGCAGTAGGTGATGATGACAGTGTAGCCAGGGCTGAGCATCCTGGAAGAAGGTACTGGGTTCCTGTTTACTCAACTTTGGGTTCAAGATTTTCCAAGGGAAGATTCTGGGCTACCTGGGACAGACCCCTATTTACAGAAAGGTAGGTCCTTAGTCATGCCCTTTACTTCTCTGTGTCTCAATTTCCCATCTGAAGTGAGGATTAATTGGCATCCATTTTCCAGGCCTGGAGTGGATCGGAATGAGTTGGTGCCCACTGTGAGGGAGCACCGGTGCATTATGATTCCATATTAAAGTGCTTAATATTTTGTCTGACTCAGGACAGACGTCATGCGGCTGTAGACACCATCACTATACCGCCACCATCACCAGTATATAATGATCACTATAATGTCCCCACCATCTTTATCATCACCCCATCACTGTCGCCCTCACCGCCACTGTTACCATCACTGTCGTCACCGCCATCATCAGCATCAACACTGCCACCATCCCCATCACTACCATCACCACCACCGTGGCCACCACTCCATCACCACGCCGCTGCCACCACCATCATCACCACCACTACTGTTGCAGAACCTTGTCCGTTGAGCACAGCAGCCACTGCCATATTCACCAATGGTTGTGGCTACGTCTGGGGACTGCTTAGGACTGTACTTACTTATGCTTCTACACAGAAGAAGGAGGAGGGGAGGGTGATCAGACGTTCATCTGAGTTCCCAATCACTTGTTTCTGTGCTTTCAAATCTTAGTTGTATGTATTTCTGTCACAGCTTCACATGGACTCATGGAGATCATTCTCAGGAGATGACAGCGTATATCCATGGAAGGTAAAGTGAAGGGAAAGCTCATTAATGCAGCTATGGGGAAGCCATCGTTCATGCTTATGTGAGACTTGATGGAGGGAAGGCTCCTGTAAGTAACCCCTCCTTCTGCTGTACAAGTTGCTCCAATAATCTCATTGACTTGCTGTTGGTATAATGTTCTTGTGGAACGTATATAATTTACCCTTGTTCATTCAAATGCTGACTTCTCTACCACACTATCTTGTTTCAATCAAGACATTGCATTGTGATATTTATTCTAAGCATCACCTGTCTCAAGTTTGTGTAAACATGCCACCATTTGTTCTCTGTATTGTCAATAAAACAAGCAACCAATGCTGAGCAATGGAGAGAACAGGGTGGGACATCCTTGTCTGGATGGAAAGTGAGTGGGAGGAGTTGGTAAGAGAGAGCAGAGGAGAGAGGACTTGGAAACACCAGGAGAGATGAACTGGACCTAAGATATGACTAAAAGCAAGTATAATGTGGGAAATCTGAATGGGAGTAACTATGCAGGCTTGGAGGTTTAGGATGGAGTAACTATTGCCCAGCATTTTGCTCTACGGTAATTAAATAAATCCCAGTCTCTGTGTGGTGATTTGGGTATATACAGTTGGTTTAGGAATAACCACCATTTAACTAAAAGATAAACCAATAATAAATATTAACAATCAATAACAACTTGCCAAGTTGAGTCTTCATGAAATTGTCACATGGTCTCTCTTTGGAGTCGTATATGGGGAAGGGGGCAGGTGTTCATATCACCTTCCAAATAAAATTCAGGCAAAAATCATCACCATGGCTGTCACCATCACCATAACTACCAAACTACCTTCATCCTCACCATCACTGCCATCAACAAGTCTCTAGGATTGACAGTCGGTAAGGAAAATGAGCCCTTGGTTGGGCATAGTGGCCCACACCTTCAATCTTATTGCTTAGGAGGTGGAGGCAGGCACATCAGGAAGGAGTTAATCATCACTGTGGACAATAGTAGAGAAAGAAAACAGTGTCTGCATGCAGGCTCCCACGGGTTATGCCCATCTCTACCTGTGGGAGCCGGACATCCCTTGAACTGTTTTTTGGTGTGTGTGATCTCTTTCTCCCTCAGTCTTCTTTTCCAGGTGCATCCACACAGTGGGTGCCCTTCATTGTTTGGGTTGACATAGGATCTTGGTTTATAAGCCTGGCTGGCCTGGGACTTGCTATGTCTAGGCTGGCCTCAGACTCCAAACAATCCTCCTATTTCAGCTGTCTATGTGCTGAGATTACAGCCATGTTCCATGACACATTTACTTATTTGGGCCATTTTTGTTGGTTTGTTTGTTTTGTTTTGTTTTGTTTTTGGATGGAGTTTCTCTGTGTAGTCCTGGCTATCCTGGAACTCTGTAGACCAGGCTGGCCTTGAAGTCAGAGATCTGCCTACCTCTGCCTCTCAGGTGCCGGGATTACACTCATGTGCCACCATGCCTACCTATTTGGGCCACTTTAAAAAAAAAAACAAAAAAACCTTCTAGAGTACCGGTTGTTGGGATCTGTAAGCAGGCATCTCTATGGCCAGCCCCAAGGGACCTGACAAACTGGATATCAGGCATCTGTGAAGCCACCTAGGGACCACCTGCACATGCTCTGGGTCACCTTATAAGAGAACTCAAAGCTCCTCCACTCTCTCTTTCTCTCCTGCCTTGTCCATAGATGGTGTCTGTGAGCCCTTCCCTCTTCCCTTCCCTTAATAAACCTCAGAGGTGGAACCAGTTGAGTGGCGTGATTTGTGAACCCTCCGTGTAACTCTCTTCTGCACGATCCTAGCATTGGTTCTTAACTTCCTTAATTCTGTGACCCGCTGATACAATTCCTCATGTAGTGGTGACTCCCAACCAAAAAATTATTTCGTTACTACTTCATAACTATAATTTTTCTACTGTTTTAAATTATAATTATCTGATATGAGGATATGTGGTATGTGATCCCTATGAAATGGTCATTTGACGCCCCCCCAAAGGGGTTGTGACCCACAGATTGAGAACCATTGTTCTTGAGGCAGAGGCTGGAGTTTTCATTGGCTTTGCTCATTGGTGGGTTCTGGAGTCTGGCATACAGTAGGTACACAATAAACACATGTTGAGGAGTGCTGGAACCCAGCCTTGGGAACTCCTGCCGTTTACTCGGCGAATCTGGTGTGTAGGAACCTCCAGTGTTTGTGCCTCTACTTGTGGATCAGGCGTGCCAGGGCATACAGGCAGAAGCCACACTGACATAGGCACACGGACTATGCCTATTGAGAGTTGAGAGACCCCCGGGGGCTGCACGGACTCTAAGGTACATGGCTAGATGCACTGCATTAGAAGTACAGATCGGAACAAATCCTTCAAGTCTGCAAAGTGATGGGTCAGTGGACTGGAGGGCTTGCCACCACGGGAGATCAGGTCTCCTGGATTGTGGGTGCACCCTAACACAGTGCCTATCCTACCAGGCAGATGGGTAGACTCTGGACTCTGTGGCTTGCTGGTGGAGGACATAGAAAGACAAGGGCAGACAGGGAGGGAAGGGGCTCCCTGGGTTTTCCGTACTTGCCCAATTAACACACAGTTTGGCCTGGGATATAAAACAAAGTGTGCTGGAGGCAGAGGAAAGTGCCTGCAGATGATCAGTTAAGGGGACAAAAGCTTTTTTAGCAAGGCCAGGCTAGGTGCAGAGTCAAGCTTAGTAATTAAGTTGAGAGCCTTTCCATGGAGACTTGGGGAGGGGTGCAGTGGAAGAAGAGGGATTCGGTCTTTCTCCACCTCCAGCATCACAGCCCGCTCCAGTTTCCTCTTTGCTCGAGGTCCAGCATCTGAGGGGAAACTGAGGGTCTAAGGACTCCAAGAAACAGGAAGTGCTGGGCTGTGTGTGGAGGGCATCCACAGAATCCTGAGGTTCATGCAGTGGAATGAGCAGGAAATAAGGAAAAGGTCAGGAAAAGAACATGCTGTCTGGGTTAATTTCTCCCATCTATTTATTTCTTCTGTGGTGTGTATGTGTGCATATGCTCATGTGCCACACGAGGCCTGAAGACAATTTGTAGGACTCAATTCTCTTCTTCCAAGATGAGGGTCGCAGAGATCAAACTCTCCAGAGATCAGGTCTCCAGGCTTAGCGTCAAGCGCCCTAACTGGCTGAGCCATCTGGCAGGCTCCTGCGGTCAAGATTTATTTATTTATTCATTCATTCAGTCATTCATTCGTTTATCCATCCATCTATCTATCTTTTTATTTATTTCTTCGTTTGTTTTGGCAGTCCTCGTGCCTCAGCCTCCCCGGAGCTGGAATTACATGTGGGTGCAAACATCTTTAGGTCAGGGAGGAGAGGTTTGAACCCCCAGTCTTCCGGGCAGGGCCTTCTGCGCAGCGATCTGACAGCACAACCTGGCAGCCTCCACCCGCATTCTCAGTTAGAATCTGTGTGCTCAGCAGCGGCCGCCACTCACGCCCTTATCTGTTCTCCATTGGTCCTATCTCCCCGCCCCCTGCCCTTCTGTGGACCAATCAGATTCTCGTGACTGACCTATCTTATCCGCCCCGCCCCTCACAGCGCGCCCCAGAGCCGAGGGCGGATTGGCCTGGAAGGTAGGGAAGGGCAGACGTAAGGGTCACGGACCTCGTGTCCAAAGCGGAAGAAAAAGGTGACCCAACCCGGAACCAGTGAGAGTCCCGTGGCGAAAGTACAAACAAGGCACCTTTTGGAGGGGCTGGCTGGGCTCGAACCTGGTATTTTCCGGGTAAGTCCAACCGCCCTGCCTTGCAGACCCGATGCCTTGTGGGGCATCTGACTGGGACCCGGCTCTAGTTGGTCTCAGGATGGACGGTCACGGGGGGGGGGGGGACCTCAACCTCCTTCAGAGCTAAGTTTTGTATCAGCCCGGGGTGTGGGCGACTCCCATCCCCATTTCTTCCAGGAAGAAAAGAGTCCCAGAGAGGGAGTGAAACTCACGCAGTGTCACCCAGCCTGGGTTCTAGCAGCATGCAGTTGCCACTTGCCAAATTTAACAGCCTTATCCCCAGTCTCTCCACAGGAGGTCACTTACCCCAGCCTAGGACAGGCTTCCCTTACTGAGGCTCCTTTCAGAACCTCCACGACGCTTGTAAACCTCTGTCCAGTCCACACATGCCCCTTCACTTCTTACACGCCCTTCCTCGACTCTTTCTCTTAGATCATTTGTTTTCTGCCCCAAGTCTCATCTCAGGCCCCGCTTCCCCTTCAGATCATACCCACCTGGCCTGAACATTTTTTTTTTTTTTTTATTCTCTCATATATCACATCTCGACCTCAGTTTTCCTTTCTTCCTTTCCTCTAGTCCCTCCTTCCCTCCCTGTTCCTTCTTTCCCTATCCACGCCTCCCTGTGGATATCAACCAAAAAGGCTGGACAAGGAAGACAACCCGGTATGAGGAAAGCAGGCAAAAGCGTCGGAGATAGCCCGTGGCCCCACTGTTATTAATCTCACTTGAAGACCAAGCTACACAACCATAATATATATGCGGAGGGCCTCGGTCAGTCCCATGCATTCTTCCTGGTTGTCGGTTAAGTCACTGTGAACCCCTATGAGGCCAGGTTAGTTGATTCTGTGGGTTTTCTTGTGGTGTCCATGACTCTTCTGCCCCTCTGGCTCCTACAGTTCTCCCCACCCCAACCCTTTCTGGATTCCCGCAATTCTGGCTGATGTTGGGCTGATGTTGGCCTCAGCATCTTTTCCCATCAGTTGATGGGTGAAGCCTCTCTGATGACAACTGGGCTAGACACCAATTTATGAGTATAGCAGACATTAGTCACTGGTTCTGGTTCTATCGTAGGGTAGGTAGGTCTCTGGGCTATCCAGCCTCTGCGGCCTGGACCTCCGGGGAGTGTCAGGAATGAGCTCCCTCTGGTGGCATGAATCTCAAGCTGGGCCAGTAATTAGTTAGCCACTCCCACAATTTTTGTGCCATTTTTTACCCCAGCACATCTTGTAAGCAGGACAACTTGTACTTTGAAGATTTTGTGGCAGGGTTGGTGTCCTGTTCCCTCTTGCCTGGTTACAGGAGATGGCCAGTTCAGGCTCCTTATCCCCCATTGCTGGGAGTCTTAGCTAGAGTCACCCTCATAAATTCCAGGGAGTTTTCATTACACAAGGTTTCTAGCTTGTTCCCAAGATGGCCCCCGCACCCCAATTCTAGTTGTCTCTCCCAGTACTCTTTGCCTCTATCCATCCCATACCTGATTCCTCTTGTTTCTGTTCCCACCTGCCCCCAGTCTCCCAACCCATGATATCTGTTCTGTTTTTACCTTCCCTTGAGCACTCTTTGTTTCTTAGCTTTGCTGGGTTTATGGATTGTAGCATGCTTATTTTTAAATTTACTAATATCCACTTATAAGTGAGTACATACCATGTTTGTCTTTCTGAGTTTGAGGTACCTCAATCAGGATGATTTTCTAGTTCCATTCATTTGCCTGCAGATTTCCTGATATTTTTTTTTTTTAATAGCTGAGTAATACTCCATGAGTAAATGTACCACATTTTCTTTATCTATTCTTCAGTTGAGGGACACCTAGGTTGTTTCCAGTTTTTTACTATTCCGAGTGGAGCAGCAGTGAATATAGTTGAGCAAGTATCCTTGTATGGTGTAACTTTTTTTTTTTTGGTATATGCCCAGGAGTGGTATAGCTAAGTCTTGAGGTAATTGAGGTAGATTGATACCCAATTTTTCAAGAAACTGCCATATTGATTTCCAAAGTGGCTGTGCAAGTTTTCAGTCCTACCACCGATGGAGGAGTGTTCCTCTCGCTGCACATCCTCTCCAGCATGAGCTGTTGCTCTTGTTTTATTCTAGACATTCTGACAACTGTAGGGTGAAATCTCAACTTGAGATTTTTTCTATTCTTTGATTTGCATTTCACTGATGACTAAGGATGTTGAATATTTTTTAAGTGCTTCTCAGCCATTTGAGATTCCTCTGTTGAAAAATCTATGTTTAGATCTGTACCCCAGTTTTTAATTGGATTATTTGGTTTGTTGGTGTTTAATTTCTTGATTTTTTTTACATGTTTGGATATTAGCCCTCTGTCAGATATAGGGTTGGTGAAGATCCTTTCCTAGTCTGTAGGCTGCCACTTTGTCTGATTGACAGTGTCCTTTGCTTTATAGAAGCTTTTCAGTTTCATTAAGTCCCATTTATTGATTGTTGATCTTAATGCCTGTGCTGTTGGTGTTCTGATCAGGAAGTTGTCTCCTGTGCCAAAGTATTCATGGCTTTTCCCCACTTTCTCTTCTGTCAGGTGTAGCGTATCCAGTTTTATGTTGAGGTCTTTGATCCACTTGGACTTCAGTTTTGTGCAGAGTGATAGATATGGATCTCTTTGCATTCTTCTACATGCTGCTATCCAGTTAGACTAGCACCGTTTGTTGAAGTTGCTTTCTTCTTCTGTTGTATAATTTTGCTTCTTTGTCAAAAATCAAGTGTCCATAGGTGTGTGGATATCTGGGTCTTTGATTCAATTCCATTTATGAACCTGTTTTTTTATGCCAATACAATGCAGTTTTTATTACTATCGCTCTGTTGTTATACAGCTTGAAATCACAGATGGTGATACCTCCAGAAGTTCTTTTATTGTACAGAATTGTTTTAGATATCCTGTGGTTTTTGGTTTTCCATATAAAGCTGAGTATTGTTCTTTTAAGGTTTGTAAAAAATTGTGTTGGAATTTTGATGAGAATTTCATTGATTCTGTAGATTGCTTTTGGGAAGATGGCCATTTTTACTGTGTTAATTGCACTGATCCACAAGCATGGGAGATCTTTTCATGTTCTTATTAATATCTTCTACAATTTCTTTCTTCAAAGACTGGAAATTCTTGTCATGCTGGCCTTTCACTTACTTGATTAGAGTTACACTAAGATATTTTATATTTTTTGTGGCTATTGTGAAGGCTGTTGTTTCCCTGACTTCTTTATCTGCCCATTTGTCATTTGGATATAGAAGGGCTAATAATTTTTTTTTAATCTTGTATCCAACCACTTTGCTGAAGGTGTTTATAAGCTTAGGAATTCCCTGTTAGAAATTTGGGGGTCACTTATGATACTATAATATCATTTGCAAATAGTGATACTTTGAGTTCTTCCTTTCTAATTGCTCTAGCCAGAACTTCAGGTACTACATTGAATAGGTATGGAGAAAGTGGTCAGCTCTTGTCTTATTCCTGATTTTAGTAGCTTTGTGTTTCTAATAATTTTATGTTGGCTACAGAGTTGCCATAAACTACCTTTATTGTGTTTAGGTATATCTATTGTAATCCTGATATTTCCAAGATTTTTATCTTGAAGGGGTGTTGGATTTTTGTCAAGTGTTTTTTCAGCATCAAGTGAGATGATCATGTGGTTTTTCTCTTTCAGTTTGTTTATATGGTGGATTATATGACAAAGATTTTCATATGTTAAACCATCACTGTGTCTCTGGAATGAAGCCTACTTGATCATGGTGAATGGTCTTTCTGATGTGTTCTTGTATTTGGTTTGCAAGTATTTTTTTGTATCAATGTTCATAAGAGAAATTAGTCTGTCATTTTCTTTCTTTGTTTAGTCTTTGTGTAGTTTGGGTATCAGGGTGACTAGGGCCTCCTAAAATGGATTTCAGAATGTTCCTTCTGTTTCTATTTTGTGGAATAGTTTAAGGAGTATAAATATTAGCTCGTTTTTGGTAGTTTGGTAGAATTCTGCATTAAAACCATCTGGCCCTGGACTTTTTTGTTGTTGTTGTTGGGAGACTTTTAATGACTGCTTCTATTTCATTAGGAATTATTTAAATTTTTATCTGATCTTGATTTAACTGTGGTAAGTGGTATCTATCAAAAAAAAAATTGTCCATTTCGTTTCGATTTTCCAATTTTGTGGAATACAGGTTTTGACGTATGACCTAATGATTCTTTGGATTTTCTTAGTATCTGTTGTTATGTCCCCCTTTTCATTTCTGATTTTGTTAATGTGGATATAATCTCTCTGCCTTTTAGTTGGTTTAGGTAAGGGTTTGTCTATCTTGTTGATTTCTCTCAAAGAACCAACTCTTGGTTTCATTGAATCTCTGAATTGTTCTCTTTGTTTCTATTTTATTGATTTCAGCCCTGAGTTTCATTATTTCCTGCCGTCTACTCTTTTTTGGTGTGTTTGTTACTTTTTGTTCTAAAGCTTTCAGGTGTGCTGTTAAGTTGCTAGGATGAGCTCTCTCCAATTTTTTTTTTTGAAAGCTCTTAGTGCTATGAATATTCCTCTTAGCACTGCTTTAATAATGTCCCATAAGTTTGGGTATGTTGTGCCTTCATTTTCGTTGAATTCTAGGCAGTCTTTAATTTCTTTCTTTTACCTTGACCCAGTGTTCATTCATTAGGGAGTTGTTCAGCGTCCACAAGTGTGGAGGCTTTCTGTTGTTTCTGTTGTTGTTGAAATCTAGCTTTAATCGATGGTGGTCTGATAAGATACAGAGAGTTCTTAAATTTTTTTTTTATCTGTTGAGGCTTGCTTTTTGACCAACTATGTGATCAGTTTTGGAGAAGTTTCCATGAGGTGCTGAGAAGAAGGTATATTTTATGTTTGGATAAAATGTTCTGTAGATATCTGTTAGGTCCATTTGAATCATAACATCTGTTAATTCCCTTATTTCTCTGTTAGTTTTTGTCTGGATGACTGTCAATTGGTGAGAAGTCTCCCACTAATAATGTATGAGGTTTGATGTGTGTTTTGTGCTTTAGTAATATTTCTTTTACAAATACGGGAGCCCTTGCGTTTGGGCATATATATTTAGAATTGAGATATCATCTTGGTGAGTTTCTCCTTTGATGAGTATGAAGTGTCCTTCTCCATCTCTTTTGATTGATTAAATTTGGTTTGTAATCTATTTTGTTAGCTATTAGAATCGCTACAACAGCTTGCTTCTTATATACATTTGCTTGGAAAATATTTTTTTAACCCTTTATTATTTTTTTGATATTGAAGTATGTTTCTTGTATGCAGCAGAAGTATGGATCCTGTGGTCACATCTGTTCTGTTAGCCTGTATCTTTTTACTAGAGAATTGAGTCCATTCATATTGAGAGATATTAATGACCAATGATTGTGAATTTCTGCTATTTTCTTCATCTATGGTGATTGAAAGTTTTGCGGGGCTGTCTGGGCTGACATCTGTTTAGTAAGGGTGTAATTCTAATAGGTCTGCCTTTATATTTTACTTGGCTTTTTATCCTTGCAGCTTTTAATATTTTGTTGTTGTTATTGTTTTGTTTTGTATATTTAGTGTTGATATATATATATATATATATATATATATATATATATATATATATATA